GTTTTTTCTTTTGTCTGATGACAGTGACACTGTGATTGGTCTGTCTGTGCAGATTCTCAGTCGTCCAGGTCATAGTAAACTGAAAAAACTTAGAAAAAAATCAACTGGAAATCTAGAATAGAATAGAAATCTGTCAAGTTTTTTTTCAGTTTACTGTGATTGGTCCGTTAGAGATGTCGTCACTGTTGTTGTATCGTCATTGGTCACCGTAGGAGGATCCGCCCACTTGGGAAATCCGGCTTGTTTGGTAGAAGCGGGACGACGACAACAATCAATTTTACCGAGTTAAAAGATAAAGTGTTAATAACCGGAGCTGCAAACAGCTGACGGCTAACGGACGGGCCGACGGCGAGTCCCCTCGGGTTCATGTAAACCGACCACAACCTCCAGTAAGTGGTAAGTATTGCTCGGAGGGAACGCTGTGCCAAAGTCCGCTCAAAAAACGGTCACTTTTAGGCAGCTTTAGAGTTTCCTCCGTAGGATAAGGTACAGTAGTTAGTTGTTTCAGCCCAAAATATACGGCCATTGTTTAAATAAACAATATTTAGTCCGTTGTTTGTCTGTTAATCTTTTAGGCCTATATCCTGGGTGCTCTGTGGCACATTCATCCATATTGTCTCTGGCTCCTAGGAGGATGTTTCATTTTCAGATCTCATTTAATTCTTCGAAACCTGAAGTTACAGAGCTGACATCTTATCAAAGTAATTGTTCCTTATTCCGTGGAATGTCTTATACTGAAGGAGGAAGTGTACCTCTGTCCGGGCCTCACCTGTGGAACAGGGACCACATGTTCTGTAGCTTGATTTCTCTTGTCTTAGTTTGTGTTTGTGTTCACTGAGCCTGTACGTGGCTAGGAGCTGCTTCTCTCTTGATCTCTGACAGTATTCTGCCACTTCAGGGCCGGATAACATTCTAGTCTGCTCGGGCTTTTAGCTGCCTGTTTCCAGTGTGACAGAATAGCTTCTTTACGTTGCTTTAGGATCCGCTTTTTGTTATTCTCGGCACCAACTAACACAGGGGCCTCTCCTCTGAGCTCAGCTCTTGGCTTTGTAGTGGACTGTGTGGGGGTTGGATTTAAGGTGCTTTAACTTTTAAAGGTCTGTTATATGACCAAGCATTTTATATAATAAAACATTCATGCTCTGTAATGACTAAGAAAAACTATTGGGCTAAATTAGGAGATTACGGAGGGTAGTTTGGGTTCTTCAGGTTTTGTTCTTGTTTAAGAAGAAATATTTGTTGTTTTTTAAAAGCTCAAAGTAACCACAAAGGCCATACTCTCTCCTACTCAGGAAAGTCAGTTATTTTGTTATAACAGCAAAATAAAAAAAAAAAAAAAAAAAGCCATGTGGTGTGATGCACCATTTCCTCTAAAACATAATAGATTCATACCTTTGCTTAGGGCACACTACAGAGTGGTATTTAAATATTAATCTACTAAAACCACCTTGGTTTGTTTTCAGGAGGGTTGGTATTTTGACCGCTTTAAAAGCATTGCCATCACAGACTCCATTAGACATACTATCTTAGGTTAACTCTTTAATTCCAAAGCACAGAAGGCTGAAAATTGTGGTGATTATTTGCTGTATCCTTCTCAATACCTGGTCAGTATAATATTTGAAATATTCAGACTGCAAAACTATTTACTCTTAATTAGAGCTGATTGATTAATCATTTTGAAATTAAAATTGCAATTTAACTGAATGTGACTTTCACTACATTTCAAGTAATCGACAACCAAGAGACAACGCTAATATTGGTGTCAAAGCAAAACAGGCTGCGTCGGTCCTCTGGACCTAGTTTGTTTGTAGACCTGAGGTTGCACTGCAGGAACATGCCTGGCAGCAACAGTGCAAGGCAGCACCACAAATTCCTTCCAGCATTAAATTAACACAACATAGTGGCCCCCTGTCCCTTATAATAACATGGAATCGTCCGCTTTGCTAGATAAAACACTCCTCACTCTATTGGATCAATATGACATACACACTCTGCCCATACTGGATCAATACAGGACTCAATTTGTCATTTTAATGCTTAAATTTATTGTCCCCAGTGGTGAAAATATCGTCATCCTCAGTAAAACTAAGCCAGTTTAGAGAAGCTGTGAGATCAGAGGGATCAAGACTTCGTTATGCATGGGTTAGGGCTAACTAACTAACTAACTAACTAACCCTAACCCTTTACAGCAGCCCGCTGCCTGTTCCCCTCTGTCTCCCTCCACTAACTGTCGGTTCAGTCCCTCGGCTCCGCCACCCGGTTTCCATTCATACCATTATCGTCGTTAAATACCGAGGCAGCAGCAGTGACTGTTGTTGATGCACAACACGGTTTAAAAAAACATAAAGGCGTGGCAGAGAAAATAAGTTAAAAATAGTTCAGTCCATCAGGCAGCAGTAAGTGTATGGACATCATAGGATTCAGGACCAGTGAGTCCAGTAGAAACACCAGTCAGGTTTTAGCCTGCAGCATGAGAGGGAGTCTGAAGGAAGCTTGTCTGAGTTTATCTAGCAGGGTGATGATGTATAGGTTTGTTTTCTGCTCTGGTTTCATCAGAATTCAAAGTCTTTGATGAGCTCAGGTCTGCAGAATTTTATGAATGAAGGAAGAAAAGGAAATCTGCCTGGTCTGGATTTACTGCTGTACTGACCAGTTTGGATTCTAGTCTCACTCCCTAGCCTATAGTGAATGGTACCGAAGGGGACAATCCCCCCCCAAAAAGGTTATATTCCCAGATCGTTCAGCTATTCTCTTAATATACTTGTCCCTCCACGTGATTTTTAGGTCACACCGTATGGTGGTAAAAGAATTCAACTTTTTTTTTTAACCTTTATTTCCCTTGGAAACATCCTGTTCTCTTACTTAAACTGCAAATCTATCAATTACAAATACTTATTAGTATGTGACAGTGCGGACAGGTGAAACTGCACGTCATCTCAGACGGCTTCAATCTGATGTGTGCTGCTGTGTCCTGTGCAGGTGAGATGGACGTGGACGTCCTGGAGTTTGTGGTTCCTGTGGACAACAACAAGACTTTGTTTGTGTGGGACATCCAGCCGACTCTCGCTGAGGATGTAATCTATGTGAGTCCACCTGGGGCCAGGTGTGGGTATCAGACCTCAGACCTGCTCAGCGTCTGTAGGCCCGAGTGAAAACACCGATCAAGAACTTGATCTTGTCGGATTATGTTCAATAGACTTGTTTTCTCCTCAGCTGCTTTTATGAGACATGGCCACCACAGTTTATCTTCTTTTGTGACTAATGCACTTCAACAAAAGCCACAGAGGTCAACAGGCAGTGACCCTTTACTTAATCTTGACCCTCTTGCTTTGAGTAACTTGAGACCTACTTCACATTTGTTTTTAAGCAAAATCTTTGAGGAACTAGATCTTAAAGTCCCCATGGCTGCTCGTTTTGCTCATTTTCAGCCATTTAACGATTATTAATAGATTATCTTGGCACCCCTCATAACTCCAAATAGTCTGATTATTTCAGAATGATAAAATCAGAGAGTGTCTTCCTAAAAATGAGAGGACAGCTCATGAACACACACAACTCCTGCTGCCGGTGTTGAGGTGAAGGCCTCAGTGCTTTGCTGTGGAGTGTCGAAATACTCTGTTATAAGTAGAAGTTCCATGTTCAAAATGTTAACTAAAAGCACAAAAGTGTTAGCATCCGAATCCACTTGAAGTACCAACGGTACCAGTACTCATTCTGTCTCTGATACTGGATCATAGTGAGTGATGCATTACTGTGTTCATCACTTTAACGCTACAGGTGGTAAAGGTGGAGCTAAATATTTTTGTGTTGGGCCATGATTAAACTGGAACGTACCCCTTATCTCACAGTTTAATCAGCTTGATGACACAGACACACCTGTACCTGTGTGTGTGTGTGTGTGTGTGTGTGTGTTTTCAGGACAGGTTGTTTGGTGTGTTCTCATCCTTCGGGCCTCTCTACCTGGTGAAAGTGAGTCCTAATGCTCCTCTCCACCCGCCCGGCTTCTTCGCCCTCATCAAGTTCTACTCTGCTGCTCAGGCCTTGAAGGCTCAACAGCTCACTGACGGACGCTCGCTGTTCCAGAGCTCTCCACTCAAGGTCATCTTGGGCTTCTTCTTCTACTGCAGTTTAAGTTCTCCTGCATTGTTTAGTATCTCTTACTGAGCACAGTGTGTTCCTGTTAGTGGTTTACCTGTAACGGCCCTGTGTGTGTGTGTGTTCAGGTGAGGCTGAGCTCCAAACAGACTCCACACTTCCTGTCTCGCAACAAACCTCTGGGCCACGCCCGCTGCCTGGAACTGGCCAATCACTGCCTTGGGTTCAACGGCTGGACCTCTGACATCATCGCAGTGAGAGATGCACACAGTTCATCTGTTTACACACAGGCACGTTAGAGTGACAGTGTTTGACCTCCCATTTGTGTCTGTCCTGCTCAGCTGAAGGAGCTGACCAACGAAGAAGAGGAAGGCGAGGAGGGTGGAGGAGTGAGGCGGAGGAGGCTGAGGTTTGGTTGTCTGCTGCAGCTCTCCTTCCCGCATCACAAGCAGACGACCAGAGGAGCAGCTGTGGTGGAGGACAGCTTCACCTGCACAGGTGAGGAGCGCACACTTGCTGGCCGTGTTCAGAAACAAAGGTCGGTTTCCAGTATGCCTGCTTCTCTGTACTGGTGTTCTTGTGGGCTCGCAACACATCATCGGTCACCGCTGAGTATCCCAGAATGCACCGCTGTCAGAGTTTGAGCCAGGCTGAAAGCGGGTATAGGGAGCCAAAGTCATGTTGTCACATCCAGTTAACCTCTGTTCACTGGCTTCAGTGGCTATGCAGCCTCTCATTTAGCATGTTTTCATCGGTCATCGTTCCTTTGTGGTTTTTTGTCCTGTTCTAAGACGAGCTGCTCATCACTACAACTGTTAATACTGAAAGTTGAAACCTTTGTGGTTTTAACAAGCTTAATTTAAGATTTAGTTTTAGTGATTGCGCCACACCATGGCGCTAAATAGGCAGTAAAACAAATCTAAGTTTGTGTTACTATGGAAATCTAAATGACGTTTATGATGTGGGGCGACAGTGGTGCGGTGGGTAGAGCGGCTGCCTCCCAACCTGAAGGTTGAAGGGTAGAAACTCGGTGCCTGCAGTCCACATGTCGAAGTGTGTGCAAGACACTGAACCCCCAAGTTGCCCGTGATGGCGGCATGTATGCACGCAGTGGCCCGGGGCCCTCAGCTCCAAACAAAATTTCATTGTACATGTTACAATAAAATAAAGCTTTTTCTTATGTATTGTTATTGGTTTCCTGTGTTTTTCTGCAGGTCCAGATGTTCTGCTGCAGAGGCGCTGTAAACTACAGAAGCTGGTCAGAGACAGAGCTCTGGTTCAGGCCTTCACCACAGTACTGCTCATACTACTAGGTGGTAATACTTCTAATGCACATGTCCATGTACTGACATAGCTGTAACCAGTTTGTCTCAGATGAGGTAATTAATTGTAATTGAATGCTAAATATTTAAGTTGACCTGGTGTCTCTGTAGGAAATGGTAAAGTGATGGTGGAGGTGAAACGGACTTCAGATCAGTTTCTATTGGAGCAGAGTGAAGGCGTCCTCCAGGTAACATCACCTGTTCTCAGTTGATGTACATACAAACAGATAAATGTGTGTCTACATTTATTAGCTACACTAATGGTCAGAAGTCTCAGCCACTCCATGTTTCCATGTCAAATGCAGCTGGGACAGACAGCAGTGGAGCAGATGTTCCCACAGATGTTCACCTGGAAAGTCTGGACCCTGTGCTGCTGGTCCATCGCTGTTCTTTCCTTGTCCATAGCCTAGAGCTGTTTGTGGCTCATTCTCCTGCTACAGGGTGAAACCTGAGAAGCTCTGACTCCCTGTGTTCATGGTATTTTGCCACATGATGCTTCAGAGGGGCAGTAATGCAGTCTGATCCAGTGCTGCCTTTGTACAGAGAGAATCTGCTGTCGGCCATCAGCAGAAGCTGGGACACCTTAAGGAACTGAGCACAGGGTTCAGACTTTCCAGGTGAAGAGTCAAAGCAAAGCAACCTACAGGTGCAACATCTGTGGGAACATCTGCAGCAGTGCCATCTGTCCCAACACTGATTTTAGAAGTAGATAGAGCGACACAGGTGTGTTCACCTGTTGGACTACACTGATACCAGCTGGAAATAAGGAGGTGATCTAACACCTTTGACTGACAGTGTACTATGCACATGTATACATATGTCTCCACTGTTTATATACGCACAGAGTTACATATCAATAATCTGTGTTGCAGGTGAATGAGTTTTGCCAGAGTGAGTTTCCTTCTGATGTAGATGAGGGTGAAGATGAAGAGTGGAATCTGACCGCATCGTAGACACACAGAGGATTGTGGGTAGGACTGTGGTGGTGTTGGGGAAACAACTGCAGCTATAAACGGTCCCAGCTCCACCTTGTTCAGTGTATTAAGTTTAAATCAGTTTCACACACCACCCTGAAACATGAGACTCAGTGATGCTGTAGCCTTTTAATGCAGAGCAAAAATCTGAAAAACAGCAAGACTGTAAAAAGCTGCAGCAGAATCAGGATACTTCTTGGCAGTATTTACTGGTACTTTCACTGGTATAACAGCATCTACACTGCAGAAGTCTGATCTCAAACAGTGTAAGGCAGGATGGTCACTGAGCTGCTGTGTCTGTCTCCAGGGTGACTGGGTGCAGTATCTGTGAGAGGAGGAGTTGCAGAAGAGAAGAGAGATGCTCGTCCAGCTGAGGTTCACCTCCATAATGCTGTTTATCTGCCAAAAGCTGTCTCGATGTTCCTCCGCCCGGTCGGAGTGAAGTTCAGGTCTCCTGCAACTACCATGAAGCCCTGCACACAACACAGGTGTTGAAGAATAACTGTTTTTAAACCAACCAAGTGGGTGTGGTGACTCTATAACTACCTCACAGTCAAATCATTTCTTTTGCTGAACTGCAAATCAGAAGGAAAGCACAGATATTTTAGTTTCTGTGAATCTCTACAGCAGTGATTTAGATGTAGAGTCACCACAGCCAGTTTGAGGGCACAGAGAGTAAAAAAAACAAAAAACAACCTAAATTATCGTTTAAAAGATGAGGTCTGTCATTTCCTCTGTTCTCAAAGGTCCCCACACACAGACTGAAATCAGCCATGTGGTTCTGAACAGTGCACATCTGGCACAAAGACATTAAGCAACAGCAGGTCAGGCTTAGGCTCAGCCTCTGTATGGGGACAGTTAAAACACTTAATATACAGAATGACCAGGCAGGTGTACTGAAGTGGTGGAGGTGTGCACAGACTCACGTCATGATACGTCACCATCCCCTGAGTGAAAATCACGCCTTGAGGCAGGGGAACAGGCAGAGCCTGTCCAAAGCAGCCTACAGATAGAAAAAGCAGGGTCTGAGTTCGATTCCATGTGGGGTGTTGCCGGTACTGCTATACAGTGAAGTTCTGTGGTGTGATAGTGGTAATTACCTCCCAAGAAGTCAGAGAGACTGTCCGACAGTTTGGTGTTCAGAGGCCGCACCTGCTCAGCAACATCATCATCATCATTATTATTATTATTACTACCACAGTAGTGCACGTGGATCCCATGAGAAGAGTGAAGACAAAGGTTCTTACCAAAACGTCTCTCACTGCGTTCTTGGTAACAATGGAGCATCTGATGAGAAAACATTTGACAGTGACTCCTATGTGACATGGCGCTTTGTGTGTACAGAGTGTCAGTGTTTACCTGACATCTTGATGAGGAAGAGTCAGAAGATTTCCCTGAATACCCGGCTTCCCACTGACTTGACAGATCTGCAGGGGAGAGACCGACAGACCGAATAAATACTGGCTCTGACCACAAATTATTTTTATCAAGATGAAATAAACAGTGATTCTAATGGTGGTGTGGCCGCAGTCTTAATCGAGTATTTATACTGAAGCTTTTGGGCAGAGTGTGTGTGTGTGTGTGTGTTACCGCAGACACAGAGGTGATGACGCTTGGTTCCCTGGCGGCGGGTGTCGACACTGCTCGGACTCTGACTCTCACCCTGATGGTCAGTCCATCATGCTGAGTGATTGTTAGGACAGGCAACTCAGTGAGTCCCACTTCAGTGGCCAGATTATTGAACAGATGCCACGGTTGCTGTGGAAATAGCAGCTGTAGTTATTGTAATGAGACAATTATTGTTACATTCATAGCAGGTCTTAAGGCAGAACTATGAGCTGAGCAAGAGGCTGAGCTGGCCCAGACGACCGAAACGTAGAAGCATCAAAATGAGCAGTGTTTTCAGAGAGTTGGTACTGGGATGACGTGTCATTCCCACTGACATCTGTGCCACCATCTCTACTGACCAGTACTCGACTTCAGTACCTTTTAGAGGCAAATACTGGACTTTTTACTCCACTACATTTATTTTATAACTTAAGTTACTAGTTACTTTTCAGAATCAGATTAATACCAGAAACTATAAGCCATTATTGATCCCAGTGGGAAATCCACCAGCTACCCAGCAGTTTGTAAAGTACTTCACAGTACAAGTATGTAACACAATAGTGTATCAGTCATTATGATCCAATAGTATCACAGACATTACTGTGAAATGGGCTGTTCTGCAGAATCACTACTGGTACTGTTGGTACTACAAGTATGCTACTGACTGTGTCCACTTGTCCATGACTTCTAGAACATGGTCACCCTGTGTTAACTACACAGTCAGTCCGTGTCTGTGTCTGGTGGTTTCACTTACCCTGAAAAACTGCAGAAATCTTACAGCGGACCTCGCAAACCTTGAGGGTACCTGCAGTGGAGGACACGGGAGTGTTATTCAGACCTCACTCTTTAAAACCAATCTCCATCATGCTATTTACCCGTTTCCACCCCAATGGTTCTAGAACTGCAACCAGACTGGCTCTGGGATTGAAACATGACCTGCTGCCGTGTTGAGAAGGTCTCCCAGCCTGACGCATGTGCCTCTGAAGATACCACATATGGTGAAAAGTACTACACTGTTGTACTTTACTTCTACTGTATCAGTGCCACCAACTCGTCATTACGCGTGGGCTCACGGTCTGATGCAGACCACAGGACCTCAGCAAGTTAGGGACCATCTGTAAATGACCACC